TTTGTAATTTTGGATTTATGGGTTGGATGACTTTTAGGTGGTAATAGGTGTCTTCCTCTACTCTTTTTTGGCTGTCAATTTTTTTCTACAATTATAGGTGCATTTTGTGCAAGAAAATGCATTAAAATCGTCTGCCTAAGAAAAATTAAATTATTTTCGTAACTTTTTTGTAATTTTGGATTTATGTGTTGGATGACTTTTAGGTGGTAATAGGTGTCTTCCTCTACTCTTTTTTGGCTGTCAATTTTTTTCTACAATTATAGGTGCATTTTGTGCAAGAAAATGCATTAAAATCGTCTGCCTAAGAAAAATTAAATTATTTTTGGAACTTTTTTGTAATTTTGGATTTATGTGTTGGATGACTTTTAGGTGGTAATAGGTGTCTTCCTCTACTCTTTTTTGGCTGTCAATTTTTTTCTACAATTATAGGTGCATTTTGTGCAAGAAAATGCATTAAAATCGTCTGCCTAAGAAAAATTAAATTATTTTTGGAACTTTTTTGTAATTTTGGATTTATGGGTTGGATGACTTTTAGGTGGTAATAGGTGTCTTCCTCTACTCTTTTTTGGCTGTCAATTTTTTTCTACAATTATAGGTGCATTTTGTGCAAGAAAATGCATTAAAATCGTCTGCCTAAGAAAAATTAAATTATTTTCGGAACTTTTTTGTAATTTTGGATTTATGTGTTGGATGACTTTTAGGTGGTAATAGGTGTCTTCCTCTACTCTTTTTTGGCTGTCAATTTTTTTCTACAATTATAGGTGCATTTTGTGCAAGAAAATGCATTAAAATCGTCTGCCTAAGAAAAATTAAATTATTTTCGGAACTTTTTTGTAATTTTGGATTTATGGGTTGGATGACTTTTAGGTGGTAATAGGTGTCTTCCTCTACTCTTTTTTGGCTGTCAATTTTTTTCTACAATTATAGGTGCATTTTGTGCAAGAAAATGCATTAAAATCGTCTGCCTAAGAAAAATTAAATTATTTTCGGAACTTTTTTATAATTTTGGATTTATGGGTTGGATGACTTTTAGGTGGTAATAGGTGTCTTCCTCTACTCTTTTTTGGCTGTCAATTTTTTTCTACAATTATAGGTGCATTTTGTGCAAGAAAATGCATTAAAATCGTCTGCCTAAGAAAAATTAAATTATTTTCGGAACTTTTTTGTAATTTTGGATTTATGGGTTGGATGACTTTTAGGTGGTAATAGGTGTCTTCCTCTACTCTTTTTTGGCTGTCAATTTTTTTCTACAATTATAGGTGCATTTTGTGCAAGAAAATGCATTAAAATCGTCTGCCTAAGAAAAATTAAATTATTTTCGGAACTTTTTTGTAATTTTGGATTTATGGGTTGGATGACTTTTAGGTGGTAATAGGTGTCTTCCTCTACTCTTTTTTGGCTGTCAATTTTTTTATACAATTATAGGTGCATTTTGTGCAAGAAAATGCATTAAAATCGTCTGCCTAAGAAAAATTAAATTATTTTCGGAACTTTTTTGTAATTTTGGATTTATGGGTTGGATGACTTTTAGGTGGTAATAGGTGTCTTCCTCTACTCTTTCTTGGCTGTCAATTTTTTTCTACAATTATAGGTGCAGTTTGTGCAAGAAAATGCATTAAAATCGTCTGCCTAAGAAAAATTAAATTATTTTCGGAACTTTTTTATAATTTCGGATTTATGGGTTGGATGACTTTTAGGTGGTAATAGGTGTCTTCCTCTACTCTTTTTTGGCTGTCAATTTTTTTCTACAATTATAGGTGCATTTTGTGCAAAAAAATGCATTAAAATCGTCTGCCTAAGAAAAATTAAATTATTTTCGTAACTTTTTTGTAATTTTGGATTTATGGGTTGGATGACTTTTAGGTTGTAATAGGTGTCTTCCTCTACTGTTTCTTGGCTGTCAATTTTTTTCTACAATTATAGTTGCATTTTGTGCAAGAAAATGCATTAAAATCGTCTGCCTAAGAAAAATTAAATTATTTTCGGAACTTTTTTGTAATTTTGGATTTATGGGTTGGATGACTTTTAGGTTGTAATAGGTGTCTTCCTCTACTGTTTTTTGGCTGTCAATTTTTTTCTACAATTATAGTTGCATTTTGTGCAAGAAAATGCATTAAAATCGTCTGCCTAAGAAAAATTAAATTATTTTCTGAACTTTTTTGTAATTTTGGATTTATGGGTTGGATGACTTTTAGGTGGTAATAGGTGTCTTCCTCTACTCTTTTTTGGCTGTCAATTTTTTTCTACAATTATAGGTGCATTTTGTGCAAGAAAATGCATTAAAATCGTCTGCCTAAGAAAAATAAAAATTATTTTTGGAACTTTTTTGTAATTTTGGATTTCTGGGTTGGATGACTTTTAGGTGGTAATAGGTGTCTTCCTCTACTCTTTTTTGGCTGTCAATTTTTTCCTACAATTATAGGTGCATTTTGTGCAAGAAAATGCATTAAAATCGTCTGCCTAAGAAAAATAAAAATTATTTTTGGAACTTTTTTGTAATTTTGGATTTATGGGTTGGATGACTTTTAGGTGGTAATAGGTGTCTTCCTCTACTCTTTTTTGGCTGTCAATTTTTTCCTACAATTATAGGTGCATTTTGTGCAAGAAAATGCATTAAAATCGTCTGCCTAAGAAAAATTAAATTATTTTCGGAACTTTTTTGTAATTTTGGATTTATGCGTTGGATGACTTTTAGGTGGTAATAGGTGTCTTCCTCTACTCTTTTTTGGCTGCCAATATTTTTTCTACAATTATAGGTGCATTTTGTGCAAGAAAATGCATTAAAATCGTCTGCCTAAGAAAAATTAAATTATTTTCGGAACTTTTTTGTAATTTTGGATTTATGGGTTGGATGACTTTTATGTGGTAATAGCTGTCTTCCTCTACTCTTTTTTGGCTGTCAATTTTTTTCTACAATTATAGGTGCATTTTGTGCAACAAAATGCAATAAAATAGTCCGCCTAAGAAAAATTAAATTATTTTGGGAACTTTTTTATAATTTTGGATTTATGGGTTGGATGACTTTTCGGTGGTAATATGTGTCTTCCTCTACTCTTTTTTGGCTGTCAATTTTTTTCTACAATTATAGGTGCATTTTGTGCAACAAAATGCAATAAAATAGTCCGCCTAAGAAAAATTAAATTATTTTGGGAACTTTTTTATAATTTTGGATTTATGGGTTGGATGACTTTTAGGTGGTAATAGGTGTCTTCCTCTACTCTTTTTTGGCTGTCAATTTTTTTCTACAATTATAGGTGCATTTTGTGCAAGAAAATGCATTAAAATCGTCTGCCTAAGAAAAATTAAATTATTTTCGGAACTTTTTTGTAATTTTGGATTTATGGGTTGGATGACTTTTAGGTGGTAATAGGTGTCTTCCTCTACTCTTTTTTGGCTGTCAATTTTTTTCTACAATTATAGGTGCATTTTGTGCAAGAAAATGCATTAAAATCGTCTGCCTAAGAAAAATTAAATTATTTTCGGAACTTTTTTGTAATTTTGGATTTATGTGTTGGATGACTTTTAGGTGGTAATAGGTGTCTTCCTCTACTCTTTTTTGGCTGTCAATTTTTTTCTACAATTATAGGTGCATTTTGTGCAAGAAAATGCATTAAAATCGTCTGCCTAAGAAAAATTAAATTATTTTCGGAACTTTTTTGTAATTTTGGATTTATGGGTTGGATGACTTTTAGGTGGTAATAGGTGTCTTCCTCTACTCTTTTTTGGCTGTCAATTTTTTTCTACAATTATAGGTGCATTTTGTGCAAGAAAATGCATTAAAATCGTCTGCCTAAGAAAAATTAAATTATTTTCGGAACTTTTTTGTAATTTTGGATTTATGGGTTGGATGACTTTTAGGTGGTAATAGGTGTCTTCCTCTACTCTTTTTTGGCTGTCAATTTTTTTCTACAATTATAGGTGCATTTTGTGCAAGAAAATGCACTAAAATCGTCTGCCTAAGAAAAATTAAATTATTTTCGGAACTTTTTTGTAATTTTGGATTTATGTGTTGGATGACTTTTAGGTGGTAATAGGTGTCTTCCTCTACTCTTTTTTGGCTGTCAATTTTTTTCTACAATTATAGGTGCATTTTGTGCAAGAAAATGCATTAAAATCGTCTGCCTAAGAAAAATTAAATTATTTTCGGAACTTTTTTGTAATTTTGGATTTATGGGTTGGATGACTTTTAGGTGGTAATAGGTGTCTTCCTCTACTCTTTTTTGGCTGTCAATTTTTTTCTACAATTATAGGTGCATTTTGTGCAAGAAAATGCATTAAAATCGTCTGCCTAAGAAAAATTAAATTATTTTCGGAACTTTTTTGTAATTTTGGATTTATGGGTTGGATGACTTTTAGGTGGTAATAGGTGTCTTCCTCTACTCTTTTTTGGCTGTCAATTTTTTTCTACAATTATAGGTGCATTTTGTGCAAGAAAATGCATTAAAATCGTCTGCCTAAGAAAAATTAAATTATTTTCGGAACTTTTTTGTAATTTTGGATTTATGGGTTGGATGACTTTTAGGTGGTAATAGGTGTCTTCCTCTACTCTTTTTTGGCTGTCAATTTTTTTCTACACTTTTAGGTGTATTTTGTGGAAGAAAATGCAATAAAATAGTCCGCCTAAGAAAAATTGAATTTTTTTGAGTAGTTTTTTATGACAAAAAATGCTTTAATGGTGGAGATAAGGGTCTTCCTCTACTCGGTTCGTGCTGTCAATTTTTTTTACACTTTTACGGATTTTTTGTGCAAGAATTTGTATTAAAATCGTCTGCCTAAGAAAAATTGAATTTTTTTGGGTCTTTTATCATTATTTTGAATTATATAATTACATTATCATGATTTAAAAATTTTTTTATAAATAAGTTGACGGATAGACAGTTGGTAGGGCTTATTTGCCCGCTTATGTGTTGCTAGTAATAATAATAATAATAATAATAATAACAATAATAATAATTTTATCACATTTCAATGAAAAATATTTGTTTTTTTTTTGTTTTCAGTTGTACCTGACATCGAATGTGTCATCGAGTGACTTTAATATGGGATACAGTATGACGGGGACATTGGAACGTGGTTGTAAAAAGACGAATTCTTTTCAAATGACACATTTTGCAGTGATTCGAAGACGTGATTATGAGAAGGCCTACGAGGATCCAAATCCCACCTAGTGCCCGTCCACACCCACACTATCCGAATGTGGGAATTACGAACACTACACGTAGGGTGCCTCTTTTCTATTTCTACTTTTTTTTAATACTCACACAGACCCTTAATATTAAATACCTTGAAAATTCAACTATCAATTGTTTTTTATTTAATTTATTTATAAATTTTTAATCATTTTTTAAAAATAATTTTTCATTTAAAATTTATTTCTTTATTCTACTAAAAAGCTTATTGAAACTTGAAAGTCTATAAGCTGAGATTAAGAATTTTTTTTTTTAAATAAATTAGATTTAAGATAATCATGTTAAAAATTTATTAAGTTCTAATTTTTTTTTCTTGATTTTTTTTTACTTTTGAAATCTTCTATAACTGGGAACATCAATTTCTTTTTTTTCATACAAGAGAGGTAGAAAAAAAAGAAGAAAGAGAGATTATTTTCAAGCTTCAAAAGTCCTAATTGAAATGAATCTGTGAAAGGGTCAAATGAGAAACGAGAATTGAATCATAGGAGAAAAGTTTTGTAATTGAGACCTCAGAAACTCTTGCTTCAATCTGTCAGTGAATGGAATTCATTAAAGTCAGGGATGTACGAAAACTTGTCCCCGCAAAAAAAAAGAAAAACTTGCTCAAGGAATATTATATTTTTAATCAATTTTACCACTTTTAATTTACCCTAAAAAAAAATATTTTTTCATCTCATTCACATTCTTGACACATCAGAAACGAGTATTTTTATTTAATAATTTATTAAATTTATTATTAACAACCAACCCCACTAGTAATTAATTAAAAATATTAATGAGTAATTAATTATTAACCTATAATTAGTGAGTAATTAGTTATTAAATATTAACGTTAATTAGTAATAAATTAGTTATTATTAATAACTAATTAATTATTAATTGGTAGTAAATTAAATAGTAACTAATTATTAACTAATTACAAATTATTTAGTAACTCAATTATAAAGTACTCGATAAATCGAATCAGTATTAAATAAACTGTTTTTTATGTTTGTAAAACATTTTTAAAGAGACAATTTAAAAAAAAAATTCAGCAAAAATAAAAAAATAATTTTCAAACTTTAGATATTAATTTTGTAAAAAGTAAATTTTAGTAAAATAACAAATTTTTACTAGTCAAATAATAATAATAAACATACAAGTTACACCAAATTACAAACAAAAAAATCGAGTAATTACCATTAAATTCATTAAAATAATTAATTGTTTTAAGAAACAATTAATATATTTAATGAAGAAAAATTATTAATAAGGAAACGACTATTATTATTTTTTTTTATCTTTAAGAAAAAAAAATGTGAAAGACTTGTCTCTCTGTATTTAGACTGAATTGACGAGGCACCTTACGAAAGAGCGATACGTCCATGGTAGTTTTTAAATTATATGAATTAATTAGATCGTAATTTTGCGATAATTATTATATAAGAAAATTGAGAAGAATATATATAAAATAATCGACTTGTAAACGCTGATAATGACAAAAACGATACCTAAGCGATGATGTATAATAAATCTTATACAAAAAGTGATCCGAGTCTTTACCAAAGTACTAGTTTTTAAGTATTTAAAAAAAAATTTCCTCCGTAATTATTCGTGTACGTCGTTTCCTAACAAAAAAAAAAGTCTCATGGTACGTGTGATAAAGCTAAAAAATCTCCTTTTTCCCCAAAAAAAAAGCAAAAAGGAGTGTATAAAAAAAAAGTATTATTCTCTCGAGAATTTTTTTTCTACATTCCGAGAAGAATATCGAAATCTTTCAAAATTTTCATTCATCTCATAAAAATTACAATCTTATTATATGAAAAAATATTTTTCAAAAATCTTTCAAACCTTCATTTTGACGAAAAAAAAAGTACATAAATTAATTTCGTTTCTTTTTTAATGATCAGAGAAAAAATATTTAAATTTTAGAGGAAAAAAAAAAAAGAAATTGAAAGAAAAAGTGAAAGACTTCGATAAACGATTTTGCATGCTCATCATGTCAATGTACGAGATATTTAAATTATATGAAATATTAAAATTATATTATAAAAAAAAAAAATATGCGTTACTGTGAAACCTCTTGATCGGGATCATCTCGTTAACAATAGGGCAATGTTACACGATATTTATTTTTGCTAAAACGTAGTAGAAACTTAAATTATCGTGTCAAGAGTTTGTGAGAGTGAGAGAAAAGAGAGAGAGAGGTTGTGTGCTCAATTGTAATTAATTGCTTGAAAAAATAATTATTTTTTATCTTAAGTATAGATCATTACAATTTCTATTTACTTAAAGAAAAAATTTCCAATAAATCCAAAAAAAAATTTTTATTTTTAAATTTTCTTTTTTGAAAAAAAAATTTGTTTCATATGGAAAAAAATATTGTAATATAAGGCTTAATTTCAGTGCAATACTCATTAAATTTGTATAATTAAGTTTCTAAAATTAAGATATGTAAATATACGTTCATATTATGAATTTTTTTTTTTAATTTATTTTTTGATATATTGCAATCAGCTTTTTGCTCAATGAGAATAAAAAAAAAAGAGTGGAAGTTCAAATAAAAAGTATTTTTTTTCGCCTAATTCGTGTGTAAAAAAAATTATCTCCTTTTTTTACCGCGCGTAAATAATTCTGTGGCCATCTATAGGTAAGGAATTTTTCTCAATGTTTTAAACGCATTTATGTAAATATATAAAAATAAGCGAAATATATAAAATAGATTCAATTTTATAACCATATATAAATATAAATGTATAATGTAGAATCAATTAAAAGGTTCAACAATTTTTAAAGTGGCGTGGAAAAATGACAGGGTTATAGACAATTTCCCTCAATTCGAGAATCTCGAATTTTTCACACATAAAAAAAAATCTCTCGATTCTCGGATTTCTTTCTTTCGTTTTTTTTTTAGATGTTAAAAGTCGCAAAAAAAAATTCTACAAATCTTTCGAAAAAAAAAAATTCTCAATGTCTAGTGTAGTGTAGATTTTTCGCTTTTCTGAAAAAAAAAGAAAACTTTTTTCCTAGTTCAAAATTAATTTTTTTTTGCTTTTTTGCGATAATAGTTTGTTTTTGTTTTCGAAACTAATTTTTCCGTTTTAACAATCTAGAAAAAGGGTGTGAATTTTTTTGTCTTTTAAAATTTGGGTTTTTGTTTTAAATTTTCCAAAATTGTATTTTTTTTTTATTATAGCGTAAAGTACAAATAGTGAAGATAGTCTTTTTTTCATTTACGAGGATCTCAAAAAAGTGAAGGGACATAAAAATAATGGGGCACCATTGAATCGTTAACATTCCTGGTCGTAGAGAGAAGAATGTGATCTTTTTTTTTTTTTTTTAAGAGAACACAGAATTATAGTTGTCCCGTAAATACTTTGGTGTCTTTCTTTTTCTTTTTTTATTACGTCCCGTAGGGTAAAAATCGTTAAACTTTTATTAAATAAGTTCGTTTGCAATCCAGGCAGTTTATATAGAATATAGTTATTAATTATTAATAATAAATAATAATTAATAATAATGAAAATAATTTATAATTTTAATAATATACAATAATTATTATTGTTAAATTATTAATAATTGCAATTTATTATTATTATTTTTTATTTTTATTATTATTATTATTATTATTATTAATATTATTATAATTATTTATAATTAGATATATTTAACGCTACCAAGCTCGCGATTTATATTTATTGCTAATAATACGTCCTTTGAATAATTTAAACTATGCATTTATATAAAAAAAAAAAATGTGTCACGCGAGGCAAATTAACGAAACGCTATACAAATAAAGTAGTCACGATTTTTCCCAAATTATTATATTTATATCGAACCACTAATTAGTCACGCTTAACTTCTTTATTATTTTAGTTTCCCGTCCATTTTATCTTTATAATTAATTGTCATTTTCAATTATATTTTATATTCTCTCTCGATAAAAATAAACCGTTTACAAATAAATATAACAAAAGAAAACTATAATATTGTCAAAAATAATTAATAACAATTTCTATAAATATTTCAATAATTAATTAGCAAAATTATTAATTAATTTTATTACTGAACATATTTATTAATAATTTTATTTATTATATTTTTATTTTATTAATAATTAATTTTATTAAGAAATAAAATAATGATTAAAAGGACCGGATCTTAAAACGATATCAAAATATTCAATCAAAAATTTCGATAAATATGAATTAGTTTGCAAAATATTTTTAATAAAATTATTAATAATTTGCAGAATTTTTTTTTTTTTGGTAAATTTTAATCTCGTGTCTAAAAATATATAGACTAATTGATGTGAATTTAATCGTGAAAAAAAATTACAAATTTTTCTCGATAGTTGCTTGATTCTGGTAGTAAACTAATAATAATAATAAATAAATAAATAAATAAATACAATTTAAAAAAAAAACAGTAGAAAAAATCGCGTCCACAATTTTTGGAGTAGTTTTATTAGCCTCCTAGGATGATTTAAGTGAAATAACGTCCGATATCACGGTCCCTCCTAACTAATTAGCCGTAGCTTAGACCCAAAGATGCACGCTCTCTTCAAATTTAAAAATAAAAAAAAATAAAAATAAATAAAAATTACAATCTATGTCAGCTGCACGCGGGTCTCTAGTCTTTTTCACTATTTCTCATTTCTCATCATCCCAAGTCAATCATTTTTTTTTTCTTTTACAAATTTTATTTATTTATAAACAATAAAATTGCCATTAAATTATTATTCATATGTTAATTTAATTATTTCATTTTTTTTCAATTTTAAAAGAAATTTCTTTTAGCAAAAAAAAATTTTTTAGTAAGAAAAAATTAATTAAATTTTATAAAAATTTTTGAATTTTTCAAAAAATTTTCATCATATATTGACAAAGATGATTAAGAAATGAGTGAATTCAGTCCTTGAAATACGTAGAAAATAGATCGTACAGTAGAATCTAGAGCTGTAAAAGTCGATGTTGTCTCTCAAAATATTGTGCATTTATAACTGAGCAATAATAAAAAATTTTGTGATTTTTTTTTTTTTTTGATTTTTTACTCGAAGTGCATAAAAATCATCGGTCGATTCTTTGTCATCACACACTCTCTTAGTACGAAACTTTATTTTTTGTAAAGGGCAAAGATTATCGACATGTGATTTCAATGCTTACTCGTAATCAAATTTACAATCGCTCGTAACAATATATTTATTAATATTATAATAATAATTGGATCGCGATAGTCGTTTAATCGGAAATAAAAAAAAAAAACAAAAATTAATTAATATTAAAATAAATTATTTTTTTGCAATTATTATGTATAATTATATAATTTTGATACAATTATAATTTTCTAATTAGCAATAAATAATTAATTTTATTTATCATTAATAAATTAAATTTATCAAAATTTATTTGTAATTTTTTTCTATTTTTCTCTTTTTTTAAAATAATAAGAATGAAAAATTCAATTTAAAAAATATCAATGGAATTTCAAATTTCTTTAAAAATATAAAACGACTATAAAAATTTTTTTTTTTAAATTCAATCTAGTGGATGTGCGTAGTCGATTAGCGAATAGTAAAAAAAGTGAGTTTTATGATTACTAATAAACGTTATAATTACACTGGTCTTAAAAAATACGAACAAGACATTCGTATTCAAAGCTACGGCTGTGATCCTTATTATTAAACGTAAAGCAGTTCACACTACATTCGACACTAATTATAATACATAGTTAATAGGCATATATAGCTATATTATATTATTATAATAAATATATAAATATATATATATATATATATATTATACAAATGATATAAATATTTTCAAAATCGTTACGTTAAAAATTTCTCATTCCAATCTTCGTTTCATGTTTTTCGATATTTTATATTATATTTTTAATAAATTTTTCGTAATCAAAAAATTGAGAATTAATTATTTAGTGTTATATCACATGTATCATTAATTAATGTTAACTATTATGATTCAAGTTTTATTTTTAAAATTGTATATCGTTTTAATAAAAAAAAACTTCTTTTTGTAATAAAAAATTAATTATAAAAATTATATTGATATTAAAAAATATTGTTTAGTGGTAAAAAAAAAATAATTCATCGACGTAATTAATAGTAAATTGATGTAAGTACTTTTAAAAATTATACTTTTTAACAATTATATATAAGAACAATTGGTGAAAATCATTGTCATTATGTAAAAAGTATACATTTATTATATAATATTTAAAAAAAAAAGCGACAGTTTTTGTGAATAAAAAAAGAATCAAACGGCAATTTTTTCGAACAATCTTAATCAAAATTGTAAATAGTTGATAAGATATGTACTGATTTAATTTATATTATATAGACAATAGGTAAAGCTTTTCAAAACTTCGAGAAGGATTTGATAAAAACATTTCTTTCATATTTATATAAATAATAAACAAAAAAAAAACCTTTTCCCTTTTTTTACAATAAAATACAATAAATTTTTTTCGATAAAATTTTTCCATTTTTGATAAATAATAATTCTGTTCGATAAATGACTCAACTTTTTTTTTTACAAGTGTCTACATTTTTCATAGATCTTCCATTTTTTTAAAAAAGAAATCGAAAATATTGTCAATTTCTATAATTAATACTAATTTCTTGTTTCTAATAACAAATTTTATATATTAATCAATTAAAATTATACAAAAAACTGAATTTTTTTTTTATTTTAAATAAAAATTTTTAGTTTTTCATTTTAATATTTAAATTTCTTTCTCGAAAGATTGGAAAAGCACAAACACACATTAAAAAAGAAATTGATAATCACTGGAGTCAAAATGAGTGAATTGAGTGTGGATCAATATATATAAATATATATATATATTATATTAATATGGGATCAAACTCGGTTATTTTCTGTTTTAAATAGAGATTCAAACACCAAAGAATGTCATAAAAGAAATTTAAAAAAAGCAGAAAATATCAGAGACTGAATCTTTAAAAATGATGAAAGTGCGAATAATAATAAAAAAAAAAATACCAAAAAAAAAAAAAGAAAAAATGATGAGAGTTGTGGAAGAGACATCGATGTATTTTCACAGTCCTGTCTACAGTCAATTCGTTTTGTAAACTATACTTAATCTATGTATCCACTGTCAAATTTTTGCCAAATAAATGTTACATTTACGCAGGCGATTTATTTTTTATTCACTTTTTACCCATTTATTTTTTCTTATAAGCAAAAGGTAATTTTAATTTCAGTTTAATTTAAAAAAATATATATATATATTAATTATTATATTATAAAATTATTATTATTATTATTATTATTATTATTATTTATTTATTTATTAATACTATTATAATTAATTGTTTCTTAATTATGAAACAACAAAATTAGTTTTGTGATTTTGTAATTTTTTTTTTTCAAAAAAGAAAAGTAAAAAAAAATAGTGGAGGAAAAATCTGAAATTGTTTTAAATGTCAGCTGCGATGCTGGTGTTTCAAAGGAATTCTATATAATTATAACTTGTTCGCACCAATAGGCTACAGAAAACAAAGATCAAGTTCTAAAATGAGAATTATCTTACTAGTGAAAGAGAATACTACTCACCGGCACTCGAGAAAGTTTCATCAATTGTTGGAAAGTTGGTCTTTGAAAGGAGCTTTAACTTCAGGATACAATTCTCATCCCTTTGCACCTTTCCGCACTGATGAAGTAGCCTGAAATACATTATTATTGAACAATAAATAAACTTTTAATTAATTAATCAAAATAATTATTTATAACAAAAAAAATAAATGTTCATAACATATAAATAAAAAAAAAAAATTATTTTCTGGATTAATTATAAATATTGATTTTATAAATAAATTAATTTTCTCATTAGCACATGTAAATATTTATTCGCAATTGTATTTTATCATTAAAATAGATTATATTTACTCGTCAGCAAAAATTATTCAACTTCCATATTATATTGATTTATTCTAATTCTCAATTTCTGAAATATTTTCATTTATATATATATAATACTAAATTAAATTACAAAAAAAAAATTTAATTAAAATTATGAAAAAAAAATGGCATAAACAATTTTTATAACTAATTAATAATAATTTAAAAACTAACTGACCAAAAAAAATTTTTATTATTAATTAAAAATTAGAAATATTTAGAAAGAAATTCTATAATAATTATACGGAAAAAAAGATTTAGCTGAAACAGCGAAAAGTTTCATTATGATAGCAAAAATTTTAATTGTTTCAGTTAAATATTTCGCTATAGTGAAATCTTTAGCAGTTGCACTTTTTTTTTCCTTGCAGAATAAAAAATTTCAATTATTATGTTAATAATTATATAGCGATAATTATTCAACGAATTAATTATTATCACTCCCCTCAAGTGAATATTAACAAAATAAGATATCTTTAACGTTTACGTTTAATATATAGGTGTAAATTCCGAATCAGTGATTCAACGCACGCAATGCCGAATACATAAATCCGGTTGGTTGTGGCAGGAGAGAGAGAGAGAGAGAGAGAGAGAGAGAGAGAGAGAGAGAGAGAGAGAGAGAGAGAGAAATTTTGAAGGGTGAATTTACATAACCGCAATGAGGTGAATTTCAGTTATTTTGCATATACAAGGGGCCTTTGTCCGAATTCCCGATTTACAACAATATATATATATATATATATATATATATATATATATATATATATATATATATATTAAATAAGCCAGATCATTAAAATTGTTTTTGATTTTCATATTCTACGTCAATGCCACATCACAATATTCCTTCAATCACAAATGAAATCGAGAATTATAGAGCTTTTGCATTTTAATCGTAAAATACTTCCATTATACTACGATGGCATTCTGTCATCACATATAAAATGTCAAATATCACCTTCGAAATTTTTAATTAAAAATTTCCTAAATAATTATATTTATAAAATATGAAAATTAAATTTATAATTAAATATTTCCTAAAAAAATATGAGACAAGCAGGCGCATGGCGCCTCCATCGCAGGGTTTCGTGGATAATATTAATATTACCGTTGCTAAGGAAAAAAACGGTCATGGTAGCGGTTGTCATGGAAATGGTTACTACGGTAATGGTTGCTATGGTACCGGTTACTATGGTAATGGTTACTCTATGGTACCAATAGCTGTGGTGCCGATTACTATATGGTTCCGATTACTATGGTACCGGTTACTATGGTCATGGTTACTCTATGGTACCAGTAACTGTGGTACCGGTTACTATAAGGTTCCGGTTACTATGGTAATGGTTACTCTATGGTACCAGTAACTGTGGTACCGGTTACTATATGGTTCCGGTTACTATGGTTCCGGTTACTATGGTACCAGTTACTATATGGTTCCGGTTACTATGGTACCAGTTACTTATGGTTCCGGTTACTATGGTATTGGTTACTCAATGGTACCGGTAACTGTGGTACCGGTTACTATGGTACCGGTTACTCTATAGAACTTGTTACTATGGTACCGGTTGCTATGTAACTGGAAAAGAAGTTATTCAAATTTCTGTAGAAATTTTATTGATTCAAAAAATATTTTTCAAAATTATAATCTAATTAATTATGATATTTATTGCTCTTGATTTTGTATTAAAAATACTATTTCCTTTTCTTATGATCGTATACACAATATCTCACTATCAGTGAACGTGTAATTCAGGAGCGAAGACAGCGACTTATGTGCGAAATATTACTCGACACGAAAGATTCAGAACGAGTTTTGCATTATTATTATTAGATGATTATTATTATTATTATTATTATTATTATTATTATTATTTTTATATATATGATAAAATAGCAAAGCGAAATAGATTGACGTATCAATTTGTATAAGAATCATTCTTATACTTATGTTAAAATATAAAATATGATTCGAATATATATTTTTTTCCTTTCTTGTTAGAGAGAGAGAGAGAGAGAGAGAGAGAGAGAGAGAGAGAGAACATCAAAGTGGTTTATTATCTGGAGCACAAAGTACGCGAGACATAAATGAAAACGATTATATGGTTTTATTATGACCATCAAAAACGAATTTACATCTCTTACCCATCATGAACATCTGTGCAAACACGAAACTCTAAATTCTCTTCTGTTGTTATTGTTGTTGATGATGAAAGTTTATTTTCTACCCGTTTTCTGTTAATTGGATTTTCATAAAAACTAAATTGTTATGTGAATTTCGCAACATATACATATAAACAAAAAGTTCTGTTATTGTATATATAAAAAATTACTATTAACATTCCACTCTAAAGGTAAATTATATGAAATTTTCCATTACTATAATAAGTTATTCTTTTGTAATGACAAGAAAAAAAACTTTTGTCGTTTGGACAATTAAAAAAAAAATAACCAAACAATTTTTAAATTAAAAAATAAAATATTTTTTACATTTCTCTTACATGTACGGAAAAAAATATTTACCTAAAACAGCGAAAGGTTTCACTAGAATAGCGAAAGATTTTGGTATTAATTTGATACTTTTAAATTTTATTGTTGCCAGAAAATGTAAAGAAATATAAAAAAATAAAGACTGAAGAAAGAATAAAAGGAGATGAACAAAAGAAAAAACAATAAAAAAAAAATAAATTAAAAGAAAATTAATTTAATTTAATTAAATAAATGGTTGGAGAGGAGAAACACGTTGAATGTCACGAGTAAATCCTGATTTAAATAGGTGTATTAAATGACGCAATGTTGGAATAGCTAATAAGGCAATGCGCCTTCGTTAAAGCCAGTGACAATTATTGTCAGTTAAAATCGATCTCATATATATATATATATATAAACTTTATAGTAGTTAAGTTACTCGTTCGATAGTTATTGACACGCGTCATTAACCAAGACGGACCTACTTAAAGTTGAAATTGATTTATTTAATCCTATCGATGATAAAAAAAAATTCAAAGCCATGATCTAAAGAATGAATAATGATCTGTCGATCCTGAACGCAAGAAAACATTAAACTTCTAATGTAATCAGATCAAAGATGAGATATACAAGAAAACCAGAACTGTTTTTTTTTCGTAACAATATCGAATACTATACTGAAAAAAAATTTATTTGATTCAAGTAAATATTTATTTGATAATAGTCAAATAACCGAAAAAAAAATAATTTTTTTTCAACTATTTTTTCTTTGTACCAATTTGAAACTATCAAAATTAAATAATTTTTAGTGGCTAACAAGAATTTTCCTGTTATTATTATTTGTAAAAATTATATCTCTAACCTCACGTTTGAAACTGATGATTTCGGACGATAAAAGATCTATTGTAAACACATAAGATTTCGAGCATTTTTGAAACTTTGTTTAAATTAAAAAAATTAAATTACATTTTCTACAAATTTAAGCGATCGCGATTTTAAAAATTTCAAACACTCCCGGAAGAAAAAAATTAACCTTTTTTTAAGTAACAAATAAAAAGAAAAAAATTTTTCGTCCACGAATGAAAAGATTCAAGTAGATATCTTACGTTGAGAAAGTCTGAACAGGTTAATACACAAATTGCAACTGATATAAAATTATATTTGGGATTTTATAACCTTTAGTTTCTAATCACCACTCTTCTGTAGTTTATTTAATGTAAACAAAAGCAGGTATAAAGGGACAATTTTCAAATTTTTGACACATTTAATATTCCTTTGAAATTATAATGTTATGTTTTTCGGATTTTAATGACAAACCCTTCTCTATTATATTGTAAACATAAACAATCATCTTTACTTGTAAACAGAAATTATCAAAATTAAATAATTATTACTCTTTGGAAATATTTAATCTAAAATCTGTATGTAAAAAAAATTAGGAAGTTAACGGCACCGGGTGTTGGGAGTTAAATTTTTCGATTTAAAAATCAACTCAAAATGGGAGTTATAATTGAATTCACTACTTAAAACAAACTTCCTACGCATAAAATTAACTCGTAAAGCATTAACTCCCTTCGCTTCAATTCTAAAAGATTGGGACTTTTACAGCATCCCCTAGGGAGTTGAAAGTCAACTCCTTTTATTTACAGTGTAGATACAGTGGAAAAAAAAATTATTTGATTCTAATAATCAGTTACTTGATTATTATCAAATAAATATTTGTGTTTATCAAATAATTATTTATTTGAGATTCTATTTCTTTCAAATACAGAAA